CTCTTTTGAGATTCCTATATTAAGAGGGTTTTACTTTCTCTTAGGTTTCTTTTCTCTATCTCTCAGGTTATCTCATCCTCCAAGACTCTCTCCCATCTATTTAAGACTTGGCCACCATGTCATTGGATACTTGTACGTATGCATCAATCGTGTTAGGACTATGAAAGTCAATTAACAATTCAAAAAAGAAAAAGAGAAAATATCATTACAATCGTAAAAGAAAAGGGACAAGGGAATTGTCCAGATGGCCACACTGTAAATTTTAGGAAAACAATGGTTAAAAAATTAGATGTATGAACTGCCCCATTTACAAAAAAAAAAAAAAAGAAAAAAAGAAAAGGTGGTTTAGACTTCCAATGCCCGAAAAATTTCTAACTTCGAATAAAAAAAAGAAAAAAGAAAAAAAGAGAGGAGAGAGCAGTTTGAAAGGGGTAAAGTGAGAAATAAAATAACACAAAAAAGTGAGACTTTTTCGTAAATTATAATTAATGAAATACTTTGTTTAACTCTTATATTTATTAGGAATTTTTTATAATTTTTTATTTATTTTTAAAATTTTCTGATTTCTATTTTTTAAATTAACTAATGCTTTAGGCCCACATAACAAACACGGGTAAGGTTTGCAATAGGTTGGGCCTTGACCAGGCCAAGGCTGGCATGGGCTAGCCCAATTGGGCTTGCACGGGCTCAACCCAGCCCTGGCTTGGTTCACGCCAGACAATACCAAAAACCTTTGTAATGTGGTGCTAGGTATAAAATATGTGTGCTCAACATCCATATCTAAATAAATGTCTGAGATAGCTTCAAGTCATTTTTCTTCATCAAATTATTTTATTTATTTATTTATTTATAATTTGGGTGTGCCCATATGAGAAGAGACGATGCCTCAAATTTAATCTCATAATGATTTATAAAAATTTATTAAAAATCAAATACTCTGAGATTACTGATCAAGATCAAGCACTTCGAGGCTCCCTTATAAGATTCTAACTGAAACTATCCTAGCCGTCTGTTTAAATGGGATGATTAAAATTACATTCATGTATGTTTGATACATGGATGACATCATGTGTAAACTCTTTTTCTGCTAATTTTTCAAAAAAAAAAAAAAAGAAGAAGAAAAAGGAGAAACTTACGCACGTATCCCTCTAAATTAGCATTGTTTAAAAAATTCCTCTCAAGGTTTTGTATTTTATTCTTACCAAATTTTGGGGGATTTTTTCAAAATTATCCATATTTCAGATCTTGAAGGCTCGAAGTTTGGAGCTTCAGACCTTCAAGGTCTACAATTAATTTTTTCAATTCGAGACATTTAAGGTCCAAAATGGCCCCTTTTTTGGACCTTCAAGTTCAAAGTTATCGAAGTTAATTTTTTCTTTTGACATGAGACCTTCAAGGTCCCAAATTCTATAGATCTAATGTTAGAAAAAGAGAAAAACGTGGGTAACTTTGAGCCTTCAAAGTTTGATGTTTTAAATTCCAGATCCCAAAGTCCGCAATAGGTTCATGTTCAAAAAATAATTTTGGAACTTGAAATATTGTAGTTGAAACTTCTGACGTTGAACGTACAAAATAGGGATAATATGGAAAAAATGAAAGGGAAATTTACACAAATGCCCCTTAAAATTACTATTATTTAAAAATGAAAAAGTTTATATAAGGTTGCAACATTAAAATGTAGGTTTAAGGTGCACCTTAAATCTCCATATGAGACGGCTGTTTTGATGTTGAAAATCCCTCTAATTGATCATCTTGACATTGAGGTGCATGAATATAAAGAAAAAAAAGATATCCCAAAAATAGTGCATCTTGCAACACATATCTGAACCGTCCATTTTTAAGATTTTCATGTGTTATAGATCTACATGATTTGAACCATTTTTGGAGTTTAGAATTTTATAGTTCGAGATGAAAATGGATTCACATGCCATCTTTAGAATATTTGACACCAATATTAAACCTTATGATGAAATTTGGAGGTGCACTTACATTGAATTTTTAAGGTTGCAACCTTATATAAACCATACCTTTTAAAAAAATTGACCTTAAAAAATTACGGAAATATATACAAAGAGACTATTTATTTTTTATATAAGGTGGTCACGATCATCATTGACCACTAGATTTGAAATAGTGTGGTTGATGATGTGTCATTGTTTGGGCATAAAGTCAAAACTAAAATTTCTTAAATGTTGTAATATACTTTCATCTACTGGATTTCATATTACATGGCTAAAAGTAATTGTGATTTTCTTGTACAAAAAATAAATATTCTCGTAGTATACAATCCGAATTTATATTTACATCCATAACAATGTTAAGATTGTTTTATTTTTTTCTTGCTAAGATTAGTTTTGCTAACCATTCGAGAATTTGTTGAAGATTGTTTGTTTAACATAACAATTAGAGAAAGAAAATTATTTTATGAGTGAGCTCGCTTACTCTTCAACATCCATATTTAAGCTCGACGTGTGTAAAGTACACAAGATCAAATTAGATATAGACGGTGCCAAAAAACATCCCAAAAAAAAAGGAAGCACATTTTAAAGTTCATTTTTTTGCTTTTCATATTTATGATCAGCTTTACTTAGATGATGAATCCTTAAAATTTTAGATAAAAAACTATCTTTAAGGTGAGTGTTAGAGGGGGATCGCATGTATACTTATGAGTCGGCTGACTCACAAAACCCCATCCATTAGAAAAACTTAGGAACTTGAAAATTCTAAGTTCTTTTGGAAAAAGTTCTTTTGGGAACAAATAACAAGCAAATCCAAATTTCTGATTTTAAATAAAACGTTGAAGCTTCTAAATTTTTTTGGAAATGGATAAAGAAACAAATCTAGAGATAAATTTTGGAACTTAGATGTCAATTTGGCTATTTGGATAGCTGGAGGTGAGTCATGAAATCTGAGACTTTTTCTTTTGGAACTTTGTGTCTATTCAATTATACCTTTAGAGCCACCCCTTTTGAAATTGAAAGGACGAGAATGATTGTGATCTCTATGTGCAAAAGATAAATGATCTCTTCGTAGATAGTCTTTTTTAAATAACATAACTTTATGGAGATTTACAGGTAATTTTCCCACATTGAAAAGAAAATGATTCTTTTAGGGGTATATATGCATACATTTCTTAAAAAAGAGAAAGAAAAAGAAGAAGGGAATTTACGAGATAAATGAAAGATAACCATAATACAACCATTAGAGAGGGTGTTATTTGTATAAGGTCAGGTGCACTATCAAATTTTATTATAAGATATATTGAAATTTTTTAGGATGGTTTGAGAATTCATTTTCATCTCTAATTATAAATTTTGGACCCCAAAAATGATTCAAATTATATATATGCCCTATATCTGTGGGCAGTGATTTCATGCAATGGTTGTATCATTGTATAATGCAACCACACTTCTAGAAATCCATGTGTTGTGGTATTTGTATAACCCAAAATTTGGCACACATGCTCTTTCATCTCAATAATCAACTCAAAAAAAAAAAGTTCGATTTGAACTCAGATATAGTCAAATTGAGTCGCCTTCAACAACGAATCTAGACCATTCATTTAGTGAATTTCAAGATTTTAGCCTTTACAAACTCAAAATCATTTTTTCCTTTTTGTAATATTGTTTATCTAATGATAATAAAACCATATAAAAAAATTGGAAAAGAAAAAAAATCCTACTAAGACTTAGATCTATACATCTTATCAAAATGGACGGTCTATTCTTAATTGAGCTAAAAAAATACTTTCGAGGATGCGTACTTTTTTTTTGTTGTGATTGTTCATTAGAATTAAAATGCGTATATTTTAAAATTTGGATTAATCAAATGACCATAACATGATTTTTTAATGTGATTGCATCATATTACTATACAACCGTTGCATGAAATCACTGCCCTATATATATAGGGATATTCTAAACTTCATAATCCTTCAAATTATAAAGGTTCAAGATAGAGAGAGTTGTGAATGATGAATTTATTAATTTTGTTGCTTATTTTTTTAAAAAATTACTTTTGAGGGGCAAATTTGTAAATATTACTACAAGACAAATGATTTTTTTGTCATTTCCATAAGAGGTAAAATTGAAATTTTAACTAAAAGACAATGACACTCTACAAATAAAGTTTCAGATACTAACTTCCAAAATGCCATTGTACTTTTGTGAAAATTTCAAATTTACATTTGTTTAATGGTAAAATTATATTTAAATAAAATTTTAATTAAAAAATAATGATTGTTTTAATAAATACACTCATCACAACCCCTACTAACTTGAACGTTTGTATTGTGAGAGGTTGTTAACTCTAGACAAACATATATATATATATATATATATATATATATATATATATATATATATAAGTAATAATACTTATATTATTACTTCTTATTATTCTCTTCTCTACTATTAAACTACTACGCGTACGGTGGACGGAGACGACGAACGAGG